AGCAGTGTGTTTTTAACATTAAAATGAGCATAGGTCAGCCCAAGGACAAGGATCATGGGCTTCTGTGCTTGCACAAATTTGGTTTTCTCCCCTTGTCTTTTACCTGCTTGTAGCAGGATTTTCTAACCATGAGCCCGGGATGTGGTTTGTGCACTGGTGGGTGGTTTGCTCCCCTTTAAGGGAGGCTATGCCCACCTTATCTAACCCACCTCAGATATAGATTTCCCTGGTTGCAGAATGCGCTATTTGACAGCATTACACTATATAGATCCAAGTGCATTAGAGAGGTCACCAGGCCCTTTCTTCTTCTGACCAAATCATCATTATTCTCTAGCTTATATCCCGATCTATGCATACAGAAGAATTTGCCACTTTTTAAATTTCACCCTGATTGCTTCCTCCCTCTGAAATGCTCTTTTTCGTTTTTCTTCTTCTTGTTCAACTTCTTATTTCACTGAAGTGTCCTTTATACTGTGGAAATTTCCTTATTTCCAGGAAGAATGAGATAGTTCTCTTTGCTCTTCTAATGCCCTGTCTATTATTCTGTGGTTGTGCTCATTTATTATTATATTAAATTTTTATTGTTCATGTCTTTTCCTGGGTGTTCACTGGGTTCTGAGCTTCTTAAAGACAGGGACTGTTGCAGATATGTACAGCACCTGCCACAGTATTCTGGCCTGAAGCTGACACTCAATATATTCTTAAATGACTTAGCCAGTGGCAAAGACCCCTACTGTATTAAAAACCACAACTGGATGCATCTACTTCTGGCTCACTTGTGAATCTTGTAATACAATTTCTCCAAGGTCCATGATTATTCTGTTATATTCTCCTATATTATTTAATTCATGAAATAATGTTAGGAGTTGAGTTTTGTGCTCTCAAAATTCATGTGTTAAAACGCTAACTTCCAGTAACTCAGACTGACTGTATTTGTAGAGAGAGTCTCTACAAAGGTGATTAAGTTAAAATGGGGCTATTAGCATGGACCCTAAATCCAATCTAACTGGTGTACTTACAAAAAAAGGACATCTGGATGCACAGTGAGATGCTAGGGATACATGTGCACAGGAAAATGCCATGTGAAAACACTGCAAGGGGTGACCAAGGAGAGAGGCCACAGAAGAAGCCACTCTGCTGCTGCCTGGCTGCAGCCCTCCAGCCTCCAGATCTGTGGGGAAATACATTTCTGCTGTGTAAGCCACCCAGTTTTTGATATTTTGTTATGGCATTCCTAGAAAACAATATACATGGAAACACATCCGATACATTTAAGTAGTTTTTCAAAGTATTAGTATGTATATTAAGATAACTTTTTTTTTTTTTTTTGAGATGGAATCTCATTCTGTCACCCAGGCTAGAGTGCAGTGGCACGATATAGCTCACTGCAACCTCCGCCTCCTGGGTTCAAACTGTTCTCCTGCCTCAGCCTCCTGAATAGCTGGGATTACAGGCATATGCCACCATGCCTGGCTAATTTTTGTATTTTTGAGTAAAGATGAGGTGTCACTATATTGGCCAGGCTGGTCTTGAACTCCTGACTTCGTGATCTACTTGCCTCAGCCTCCCAAAGTGCTGGGATTACAGGCATGAGTCACCATGCCTAGCCTAAGATAATGTAAGTTCAAAATAGAATAATTTAATAAAATTTTAGTACTCAAGAAAATTATGTAATAAAACGATTTTTGCAATTTTTGTGATCTAGTGTCATATGTTACAAAGAACATCAATTCTTCCTGGCTCTTGGACCTCTTGATATTTGGACAGGAACTATATAACTCATAGTATACATTTCCATGTTCAACACAATAACTAGTATCTATTGCACATATAAACAGTGTCATTAGTGGCATTAGGTGAATGTTGTACTGAGCAAAAATATTTTTTTCTTTTCTTTTTTTAACAGAGGTGGAGAAAAGTGAAAAAATGTAGGGTTCCTGTGACAGGATTGCCTAAATTGCCCTAGTATTTGTGTATACCCAATATCCACGATCCCCAGATTGCCTCAAGATAAGCTACATTTTAGACATTTTTTTTGGTTAAATATTTCTTCTCTTTATTGGCAATGTGTATTTTATTTGTGCTGATTAACTGCCTAGTGTCCTTTGTCCACTTTTAATTTTATTTTATTTTACTTCAAGTTCTGGGATACATGTTTGTTTAACCCCACCTCACAAAAAAGCAAATCCAAAAGACATATTTTTGCTTCTGAAAATCTATAGGTATAACTGATTTTACCCATGCTAGTCATTCTGATTCCTCTAACTTCTAGTGAGAAAGTATTGAAATTTTTTTCTAAAATTGTGATTCTCATTTTTTACTACATGATGAAGATATAACCACTGTTAGGAAGAGTTCTTTGGCTATCTAATTCAGTTGCATATAGAGGGGCTTCTCTCTTAGGAAAAGCTCACTTTGCTTTATAATAATGTGCAGAGGCTATCACATTGGGATAGAAACCTCAATTCCATAGCTCTGGGCTTTCGATATAAAGGGCTATATTGAGTTCATTCATTCTGTGGGCTTGCCATTCTGTGAGTCTGCATGATTGAATCTTCCATTCCATTGATCAGACGAGGAAAGATGCTGGTAGGAATCTGACATAATCACCAAAAGACGAAAGTAAAACTCATATTTTATTGCCTTCTTTTTCTATGTCTGGTAATCACCAAATGGCCATCCTAAAGAATGCTCATTTTCTATGCATTCACAGTGGTAGAATGTATGGACTGAGTAAGGTGTGTGTTTATAAGCATATATATATATGTGTGTGTGTGTGTGTGTGTGTGTGTGTGTACATATATAATTGCATGAATATTTATTTATAGAGGCATATATCATAAAACACATAACTTATAGTTCATTACTGCAGACTCAAACTCATGTAAAGAAGGAGTTACTTTACATTTGAGTTAATTATCTTATTCTGTCCTCACAGAGCCTTTATGATGTAGATATTAGTAATATCTAAATAATATTCTGGATCCAAGGTCACTATAAAATCAGGCTGACTGCAATTCAAACAATTTTCTATGGCTTAGCCCAACAAAGGTGACAAATACTAATGCAGAATTTATAGCTGGACAGCTTGACTCCAAGGGGCTAGATCTGGGCCTCTTCCATTAAGTGACTTTACCCTTTCTAAAACTTTCACTTCCAGATGCACAGACTAAAGAGAGTGGGTTTGGAGCTCTCTTGAAATATTTTTTGGAATATTTTAGGAGCACGATATGAAAGAGGTTTCTATCACTTCTGGCTGCATTCCAGGGCTTGCTGTCAGTCACATGGCCAACTTGACTGCAAGGGAGCATGGGAAGGAAAGAGACACACTCTGTTATATGCACTCTGTAATAGTTCCTGGGCCCCTCAGGCAGTCAGTTAGTAGAGAAGCCCCAGATACTATAAAACCTACAGTAGAAAACATGTCTGGAAAATTACTTTGAAATCCTGTAGGTGCTTTAGGACAATTCAATAATATTTCCAAACTTCTTTACGGAAATTTTTGTTTATTAATGTATAGATCTTAAGGTATTTCAAAATATTTTTTCCTTTTTTTTGAGATGAAGTTTTCCTCCGTCGCCTAGGCTGGAGTGCAATAGTACAATCTCAGCTCACTGCAACCTCCACCTCCTGGGTTCAAGTGATTCTCCTGCCTCCGCCTCCTGAATAGCTGGGATTACAGGCACCCATCACCAATCCTGGCTAATTTTTGTGTTTTTATTAGAGACATGGTTTTCACCATGTTGGCCAGGCTGGTCTCTACTCCTGACCTCAGGTGATCCACCCATCTCAGCCTCTCAAAGTACTAGAAATATAGGTGTGAGCTACCACAGCATTTTATAATTTTGCTGAGACAACAATTATCAAGAAAGAAATGTAACAGTTGGCAAAATCTTCAAGGGTCCCCACTCTTGAAATTGAGAACAGTCTTTAATAATGAAGTCAATAGTTAATTATGCTTTTATAAAATAGAAGTTAACTGATGAGGCCAAATGAGCTAAGAATATATTTATTGGCGCTCAAAGCAGTGTTGGTTTCACCATGAAATTTTATGGTAAGAAGTTCAGGGAAGTTGTTTATTTGCTATACTATGCAGGGACTAACAACTGTAATACTCCTGCTCTCTTTCTCCCTCTCTCTCTTTCTCTCTCCTTCCTTCCTTCCCTCCTTCCTTCCTTCCTTCCTTCCTTCCTTCCTTCCTTCCTTCCTTCCTTCCTTCCTTCCTTCCTTCCTCCCCCCTCTCTCCCTCCCTTCTTTCCTCCCTCCCTCCCTCCCTTCTTTCTTTCTTTCTTTCTCTTTCTTTATCTCTTCTTTCTTTCTCTCTCTTTTCTTTCCTTCCTTCCTTCCTTCCTTCCTTCCTTCCTTCCTTCCTTCCTTCCATCCATCTTTCCCTCCCTCTCTCCCTCCCTCCCTCCTTCCTTCTTTTTCTTTCTCTCTCTTTCTTTCTTTCTTTCTTTCTTTCTTTCTTTCTTTCTTTCTTTCTTCTTTTCTTCCTTTCTTCCTTTCTTTCACCTTTCTTTCTTCTTTCCCATCTCACCCTGTTGCCCAGTCTGGAGTGCAGTGACACAATAATAGCTCACTGCAAACTCAAACCCTTGGACTCAAACCATCTCCCCTCCCCCACCTCAGCCTCCGACCATGTCCAACTATGTTTTTGGTTTTTGGTAGTGACAGGATCTCACTATGTTGGCCAGGCTGGTCTCTAACTCCTAGCCTCAAGCACTCAACTCCCAAAGGGTTGCAATTATAGGTGTGAGCCACTTGGCCTGGTCTAGGTTTTATACTTTAAATATTTCCTTCATTTTCCTAGTGAATACCATACACTCTCAATTATTGCACTTGTTACTGGTAATTTACAGAGGACCATTACATTTCATATAACCAGAACTTGAAAAATTCTCAGATTTTTAGCAAGTAAAGGATATCATATCGATCCCAGTTGGTGGTTGTGGCCTAGGAGGAGTGACTGGGTTTTGTTGTTGTTGTTTGGTTTAATGTTTGTGGGAGGTTTTCTGGTAAAAACTAAAAATCCTGCTAGATAAATTCTAAAAGAGCTGTAACTCTTGGCAGTGGTATTAATCTTGGCCTTATCATTTTTGCTGTGTAAACTTGGGCAAATTATTCCAACTCTGCAAGCCTCAATTTCTTCATCTATAAATTGAGGATGAAAATATCAATTGTTTCTGGAAAGGTTCCTGTAAGATAATATGGTTGAAGGACTTAGTATAGTAACTGACGTATTGTTCCCGCAAACATTAATTCTAATAGTAATAAAAACAATCCTTGTAAGTGTTATTACTATTATCTTAGTCCCAATTTATTTTTCTTTAAAATGGAGACAGTATTATCTGCACTGCCATGAGGAGTAAATGAGCTATGTATACAATATGTGATATGCAGCAGTCACTCCACTGAAATTGTTTCCCTATCCCTTTCTAGCCAAAACAGAACCCAAATTTCTCTCTACATTTGGTCATAGGACCTTTGACACTGATCTGGGTAAGTCCTTTAGACTCATTAACAATCCTTTAGATTCTGAATTTTAAAGACCATTTTTGTACATTTTTAGTATTAAATGAGAAATACTTGGTGTTTAATGTTTCTTTGATCAATGTCCACAATTTTCTCCACTTGTGAATTATTGAGTTGGTTGTATCTGTTATAAACCACCAAATTGTGAATATATAGGTTTTTCAGAAGGCAATATAGGCTCTTCATGTATTTACATGGAGTTAGGTTTAGCTCACTCTAAAGCCATGACTTCTCCATCTAATTCTAGAGATAGATTTACTTCTTGTTTTCTATTTCTCATATATAGATCTATTGTTTGTCATGAGAGCCATATATAAAAATAGATTTTGACTTATTGAGAATCTTGTATTTTCTCTGTGCTGTATTCAGATTTAGCATTCATGTTATGCTACCCTGGATAATGGCCATTGCCATTGCACAGGGCTGTAATTAATAAGCATTCAATCATTTGACAACAGTATTAGACACCCACGTCAACAGACTGACTCTCAGTTACAGCAAGTCACAGGACTACAGGCACTAATATTTCTTATATCAATTTTAAATAATCAAAAAGGAGATCTAACTAATGATTTGAAGTAAAGAAAAGAAGTAATGCCTTGGGGAAAATGTCTTCAGACTTTCTGAATTTAAATATAGTTAATGAGATCGTAAACTGATTTTCCTTTCAGAATCAGTGGTGTTTTCTACTGAACTGTTGGTTTTGCAGCACTAGATTAAATTGAAATCCTCAACCGTACTGAAGAAAGAAGTAGGGGATCTGAGTAAGTTCAGCTGCATCTCTGCTTTATTCTTGGAGTGGAGACTGCTCTTGAAAGCAATTCCTGCTGCCTTGACAATTTCCCTTTCTCTTTTGGATTATGGAAATCACTACTACAGTAGACTTGTTATTCTTGTTCTGCATTGCAGTCTTTCTCTCCATCTGTGTTTCTTTCTTAATTAGGATTATCTGCCATATCTCACTACTAAAAGTTAGGTAAAAGTCATGATTCTCCAGGTTTCTAAGCAGCAACATGATCAGTAAGACCAGCTTCTGGCAGGAAAATGAAATTATTTTTAATGTTAAACAAGGTAACGGCAGGATTCCACCTGCAGCCCAAGTATCACTGGGAACTGATAAAAGATGAAGTCAGGATATTACTCTCTGATCAAATGGATTGCCTTTCAACATAGCTTTTAAAAAAGAATCTCATCCCAAAAGCCACACAGCTGTAAGCCCAAGAGGTAGTGAGAAATGAGACGCTTATAGGAATTGGAGATTAGCAGAGCCTCATTAGGGATCCAGGCAGGGTAAGCCACAGAGAGGCAGCTGTATTTTTCTGTGGATGGGCCTGAACCTTGGAACAGATGCATTTTGGTGAAATGCAATTTTATTTTGGGTCACATTTGCCTATAGAATAAAATGTTCCAAGAGACTCCAAATACCATTTCAGGGAATTTTAATGTACTAACCTAAATTAGCTAACTTACTGGGTAAGAGGCTCTTTCATATTTACTTAGATGTCCAGCCCCGCCTCTCAGAAGTGTCTGGAGATGTGTATTACCGTAGTGAACTGGGAAATTGTGGGAGGCTGGATGAATGGTGGCAATCTGGGGAAGACTGTATCATGATTCATATCTCTCAGGTGAGGCTGATGCTTGCTGTCCTTAAACTGCTACAGTGTAGGAGTCAGCATGGTTGCGCCCTTGTAAAATGAACGAAGACATACATGCAGAACTATTAATCTTCAGAGAGTTTGCATTTTCTCAACATAAAGACTACCTTTGGTAGGCCAAAATTATGGTCTCTTAACCACACGAAGACACATGCTTTCCTTAGTAAAGACAGTATTTAAGGAATGTTGATTAATGTTCTTGCTGTGTGCTTGTGTGTGTTTATTTTGCAAGACATCAATTTAAATATATAGAGCAGTAATATCTGTCCTATGCAGTATGGACATAGCCCTCATAAACATCATTTTGCAGCCCCAAAGAACTTTGCTTCTATGGATCAGTAATACACTTGGAGAGATGATTTTGATTCAAGTTGTTTTCTTGCCTTTGGTTCCTCCTTTTCCAATGTGAAAGGTACTGCAGCAATGTTGTTGATTACACACACACACACACACACACACACATACACACAGCACATACATTTCCACACCCACACCCACACACTCTCAGAGTCAGTGAGGAAGTCTATGGGTAATCTTGACCTGCAGTGCACTTCTTTCTTTCCCTGTAAAAGTTGCCAGGTGATCATACACAGCAGGAAAACATTAGAATGTGTAAACTGTAGAGAAAACCCACTGGGTAATCATTAACCTCAGGTGACCAGCAGACCTGTCCCTCACATTCTCGGCATGCAATGCTGATGGAACAGGTGGTGTAAGGCAGTTACCACCATCTGGAAAGTGGGGAGCACATCTTAGAAGAAACTGTGGTCTGTAGTTATTTGGGGGCTGACAGTTGCTGAACAACTACTCAAATGTTACCTAACGCATATCTTAATGCTTTACTCAGGCAGAAAGTAAACTACTTTATAACCAGTATAGGCACCATAGCTCATTGCCAGCTTCCTATTTCATCATCCCTGGAGTCAGGTACTGGTGGAACATGCCAGGACTCTGTATTTATGGTTAACTCTTTAAAAAGTATTTAAGTTCTTGAAATAAGTGTTCATTTATAGGTATAATCATTACTTATTGAATTATGGTATTTTGGGAGGAGACGTGACAGGGAGACTTCTAGCCTTAGAAAAATTTGGAGTTCTCAGAAAAGTGTCCTGTAAATTCAAAGGATAATCATCTGGGTCATTGTTGTCATTATTTTCATCTAAACAAGTTTCGAGATATATGGTTGGACATAAAAATAATCTTGTGGAATGTAGTTCTTGCAGCCATGAGAAATGTGGGCAGACCCTGGGAAGAAATAGTGTTCTATGGGCAATGTCTTCAGGGCTTGCTGACCCAGAAATTTTAAAACACAGAGCACAGGAAAGCTGTGTGAGATCCAAGAATCCTCTTCACTTTGCACAACTGCTTCCTCATGTATTTGTGTCATCTGGTTGAGTGTGATTACTGTGAGTACCAAGGAAAATAATATCCCAAATTATTCACTCAGCTTCAGTTGGCAGAACAGAGAAACAAAGCATAAAGAAAATTTGTATTATTTCATTGAGATTACATGTATCAGTGGAAGGTGATATGGTTTGGCTATGTCCCCACCTGTTGTGGGACGGACCCAGTGGGAGGTAATTGAATAATGAGGGCAGGTCTTTCCCATGCTGTTCTTGTGATAGTGAATAAGTCTCATAAGATCTGTTGGTTTTAAAAAGTAGAGTTTCCCTACACAAGCTCTCTTCTCTTGTTTGCTGCTATGTGAGACATGCCTTTCACCCTCTGCCATGATTGAAAGGCCTCCATAGCCACGTGGAACTGAAAGTCCATTAAAACCTCTTTTTCTTCCCAGTCTCAGGTATGTCTTTATCAGCAAGCATGAAAGCTAACTAATATAGTAAATTGGTACCAGTAGAGTGGGGCACTGCTGAAAAGATACCTGAAAATGTGGAAGCAACTTTGGGACTGGGTAACAGGCAGAGGTTGAAACAGTTTGGAGGGTTCAGAAGAAAACAGGAAAGTGTGGGAAAGTTTGGAACTCCCTAGTTGAATGACTTGTTGAATGGCTTTGACCAAAATGCTGATGATGATATGGACAATGAAATCTAGGCTGAGGTGGTCTCAAATGGAGATGAGGAACTTGTTGGGAACTGGAGCAAAGCTGATTCTTGCTATGTTTTAGCAAAGAGACTGGTGGCATTTTACCCATGCCCTACAGATTTGTGGAACTTTGAAATTAAGGGAGATGATTTAGGGTATCTGAAAGAAGAAATTTCTAAGCAGCAAAGCATTCAAGATGTGAGTTGGGTGCTGTTAAAAGCATTCAGCTTTAAAAGGGAAATAGAGCCTAAAAGTTTGGAAAATTTACAGCTTGATTATGTGATTGAAAAGAAAAATCCATTTTCTGAGGAGAAATTCAAGCCAGCTAGAGAAATTTACAAAAGTAATGAGGATCCAAAGATTAGTCACCATGACAATGTGGAAAATGTCTATAAGGCACGTCAGAGACTTTTGAGGCATCCCCTCCCATCACATGCCTGAAGGCCTAGGAGGAAAAAATGGTTCCTTGGGCTAGGCCCAGTACCCCCCTGCTGTGTACAACCCTTGGTGCCCTGCATCCCAGTTGTTCAACCCATGACTAAAAGACGCCAAGGTACAGCTCAAGCTGTTGCTTCAGAAGGTGGAAGCCCCAAGCCTTGGTAACTTCTATGTGGCATTGAGCCTGTGGGTGCACAGAAGTCAATAATAAAGGTTTGGGAACTTTAGCCTAGATTTCAGAGGATGTATGAAAATGCCTGGATGCCCAGGCAGAAGTTTTTTGCAGGGGCAGGCCCTCATGGAGAAGCTCTACTACAGCAGCACAGAAGGGAAATGTGGGTTCAGAGCCCCCATACAGAGTCCCTACTGGGGCACTGCCTAGTAGAGCTATGAGAAG